CAGGGAGACTGTTGGTACGCAGCAGGGTGGGCAGTATACCAACAGAATCCCAAATCAGTCTCGCAAGCCCAACACAGAGTACAGGCCCTCAAGACCTCCTCTCAAAGGGATAGGAAGCCTGGTCAAGGAGATAGAACTCCTATAGACTATAGCAACTCCCCCTCCCCGACCCTCTGAGTGACATTGGTGCTGGACCGAGTACCCAGGCGGACAGCTAGGAGAGGGGGACACCACCTTCCTCTCCTACCCAGGTCTCAGTAATGCACGCCAGGTCAGCACCCTCATCAAGAATTGCATCATGGAAGAGGGTAGTCTTATTTTGTACTGAGTGGTGCTGGACCGAGTACCCAGGCGGACAGCTAGGAGAGGGGGACACCACCTTCCTCTCCTACCCAGGTCTCAGTAATGCACGCCAGGTCAGCACCCTCATCAAGAATTGCATCATGGAAGATGGTAGTCTTATTTTGTACTGACCTGGCATTCATCAACAACACGTATGGCTCGAGGATTTGCTGATATGGTCACCTGATACCATCTGGTTGGGGGTAGGACTAGAAGAGGGGATAGATGTAAGATATCTAACCTCTCTTTCTCCTACGTGGGCATGTTCTACCCCCACCGCCATACCTTCCCCTACTCAGCACCACCTCAATGGTTGTTCCCACCAACGCCCTCCCCCCTTCCTGTTTCCTCAGATCCACTGTGGGTCTCTCTGTAACCTGATGGCAATTAATAATAACAATTAAACAACAACACACCCTTCTAAAGCCCCTTCTTCCCTCCAAGCCAGGTGGCTGAGTTGAGGAGGTGGTGGGGCAGCCAGAGGCAACAAGGGCCCAGTCCTGCAAGGCCAAGGGAGTCCAGACCAAACTTCCCCCAGGAAGGCTGGCCACCGGCAGCAGCACAGCCACACTGTCTCTCACCCAGTGCCTGAGGGACAGCAGATGATGAAAAAGACTCCCCTGTAAGCACGAGTTCTGGTCCCTTTTAACCGCTTTTAGTGCTATTTCTTTTCCTAGGTTTCTTTTCCAACCTCTTGAATTGGTAACTCATTTCCCAGGCTTTCTTCCCTGCTGGTATTAGGCTTTTGGTCTGATAATTCCTTCCCTGGGTTTTCTTGAGTTTCTTCACTGATTGCTCTCTCTCTCTCTCTCTCTCTCTGTGTGTGTGTTTGTGAAAGAGAGAGAGAGAGATTGCATGGTCAATGTCACTATCCGAACTTCTGTGGGGGAGCTTGATGTTTCATATCCCTCAACTTCAGAGGAAAGAATTGACAGCAAGCTAACAGGGAGGCTGGCTTACATATCCCTTTCCTCACCTTGTTACATGTTAGTCAATTTTTGTTTGTATTTTTGTTATATATGTAACATGCATTTGGAATGATAAAGAGTTCAAGAATCAGTGGAAATGAATATTATAAAGTATATAGAACTAAACTCAGTTGTTGATTCCAAAGCAAATAAACACATGGGTTTAATGGGAACTTGGTAAATCAAAATTCATGCAAATTTTATTTGCTTAAAATGGCTTAGTAAATCTGTTTTTGGATTTAGGCCATAGATACAGTCTTTTGCATAAATACATTCTATTACTTCAATATAACACTATATAGTTAACATTTATTATTAGAGATGGGGGTATCCATATATACTATATAGTTAACATTTATTATTAGAGATATGGGTACCCATATATGAATATCCCCCACAGGTAGAAATAACGAGGGTCCAGCTCCATGGGGCCGGACTGTCCACTCACTATTCTGCCACTGACACAAGCTTGACGGAGCCTTCCTATTGCACCGTTGTCCGCCATGGATTAGCCACTCTGTGACCTGGCAGAGAGGCTTGTCATCTTGCTTCCTGCCAGGAGTGGCTAACAATAATAGTAACCCTCATTATTTCGACCTGTGAGGGGCTTCCTGCCAGGAGTGGCTAACAATAATAATAACCCTCGTTATTTCGACCTGTGAGGGGGGATATTCATATTCGTATATGAATACCCCATCTTTAGTTGTTGTTATCTCTATTATACACAGCCCACCAAATGTTGACTGGATTTCTTTCTACTTCCTGCCAGGAGTGGCTAACAATAATAATAACCCTCGTTATTTCGACCTGTGAGGGGGGATATTCATATTCGTATATGAATACCCCATCTTTAGTTGTTGTTATCTCTATTATACACAGCCCACCAAATGTTGACTGGATTTCTTTCTATGAATATTAATTTGTATATGAATGCCCCCATCTTTAGTTGTTATCTCTATTATACACAGCCCAGCAAATGTTGACTGGATTTCTTTCTCTGAATATTAGGTCATTCCCAAGAACCTAGGATATTCATAAGTATTTCTTTAAAATTAGTTCTGTTCTCTGTAAGACAGCCGCCTGCAGTTGGTCTAGCATGATCTCATTTACACCTGTAGTAGAAAGATACTTTTCTAGGTCTTTTCATATTGCAGTTAAAGCATGTTGTTGCTCAAAAACACCAGGCACAGTCAGTCAATCAAAATTATTAAAACATTGACTGGTATTATATAACAGATACAAGTTTTAACAAAGTATCTGTTAAATATTGGCACAGTATGTATGCTGTTCCTAATACTGCTGTTTTTTGTAGCTCTGATGGTGTGCTTTCTGAGATCTGCAACTGCTTATAGTACTGTGTGAAATTTCTTGATATTGTTCCCAAAGCCCTGATGAATATGGGGACCATCCACAAGCAAGATGTTTCGATTGCCAGGTCTCTGTATTTTGTTAGTTTTTCCAATTCTTAATTTTCAACTCTGGCATTCCCTGGAATTACAGTGTCAATGATCCAGACATTTCTTCATTCTATTACTACTGTGTCTGGGATGTTATATTCAATGTGTCTTATCAGTTTGGAGCTGGAAATCCCACAAGATTTTGACTTCTTCATTTTCTGACACTTTCTCTACCTGATGGTCCCATGGGTTTGGGGGGGCTGGCAAGTTATACAAAATATAAAAGTCCAAAGTACACATACATCATCATCATCATCATCATCATCATTGGCTGGCTTTCTAAATAAATGTGTACATACTTTGGACTTATTTTTTGTACAGTCGTGCCCCACTGGATATTACCCCAATTAACGATGAATCTGCTTAACGTTGACGTTTTTGTGATCGCTTTTGCGATCGCAAAACAATGGTTTAAATGCGTTTTTTTCGCTGTGCGATGATCGGTTCCCTGCTTCGGGAAACGATTTTCGCTTTACAACGATCAGGAAGCAGCTGATCGTTGGGTTTCAAAATGGCCACCGGATGAAGAAAATGCCCCCCCGCTGTTTTTAGGACTGATTTTTCACACTACAGGCACCGAAAATGCCCCCCCCTATGGAGGATCTTCACTGGAGGAGCAGGTATTCAGCCCATTGGAATGCACTGAACGCTTTTCAATGCGTTTCAATGGGTTTTTTAATTTCATTTGATGATGTTTTCGCTCTACAGCGATTTTGCTGGAACGAATTAACGACATCAAGCGAGACACCACTGTATGTTTTTCACATGAGCTTTTTGTTTATAAGCACACAAAAGTGACCCACCCCACCCCGGACTGGAAAATGTGTAGGACACATACATTCCAATGGATTTGGACTATAGTGAAGAACCAGTGGTATAGTTCTGTCTCCAGCTGAAACTTTCTTCCTGTTCCCTTCCTTCTGCCACCCTCCATCGTGCCTTAAACCTGTTCTGAAGTTTCATTTTTGGATTGAATAGAGGGCTGCAGAAGGGAAGGATCATGAGTCTCATGGAAGCAGTAGTAGTTAGCAGTAAGATCCAGTGGAAGTACACTATTGGATCTGTGCCTTGAAGTCTTTTAACATCCAGTTCCCTGAACTGACATGTTGTGGTGGGCTTTCCTGGCTACTCCTTTGATCTGTGTAAAATGTTTCCTGTAAATGATAAAGCGTTTGTTTGTTTAGATGTCTTCCATTACTCTTGATATCCTCTATGTGCTTAGATATTCAGGTAGAAATATAAACCAAATACTGTCTAACTCTCGTTATCATGAGCAATCATGTGATGATGGGAATTCTATCTTAAGACTTTGCATATCATGCTGAATGGTGCTTTGCAATTATTATTTTTCTGCAAATCAGTGTAACTGTTGTTTATTATAGACATGTGACTGAATTCTGGCTCTTGTGGTCCACCATGTGATTTGAAAATTAAACATGTGGGAAGAGCCTCTTACATAGAAACTCCTCAGTACTGCTGCTGACTACTCTCATCTCCTTTCCTTGTATCATTCAAGAGGAAATTAGTAATTGTAATTTCTTTCATCTTCTGTCAAATGTAACTGTTTAGATCTACCATGGTGTTTGTGTATTTACTCAATGGCATCTGCAGAGATACTGTTCCAAGCATGTGATCAAAGGGACTTGTTAAAAACACATTGAAATTTATGGCAGTTAGGGTATTCATGACAAATAAGTCCCATTGATTTCATTGTGTTTTCTCTTAAGCAGAACGGAATCAAAATACAATCCAGTGTTTAGCAGTGTCTAATGGATGTCGTAGTGAGAGACAGACTTATCTAATGTGAATAATAACTATAATTTTGATTCTCTTGAGACTTTGTGGTAGGAAAAAAATGGAAATTATTTATTCATTCACCAACATTGCAGTTCCCGAATCAAGGAATTTGATCAATACAATTAGTTTGTCCCTAGCTGAAGGGTTTTTTTGGTGAGAAATTTTGTTATCAATTAATTTGTACAGTTAGTACTATTTTGAAGTAACTGTTGATGGTGAATAAGGTGTAAACATTGGGTTCAGAGATCATTGTTAGATTCACATACGTAAACTATGTGAATATGGCATTTTGATGCAATTGAAGCAAATGCCTGTCTCCTAGGTATCTCAGTGTTGAAAGTTTTAGAGTAAGATGCACATTCAAAGCTGGAAGATGATGGGAAAAGGAATTTGTCAAGATATCAAGGGGGAAAGGCTTAGAAGTAAGGCTTTTTTAACAGAAAAAATCCTTCAGTCCTTTCTTTTTAGGGGAGAAACATAGTAGGTCTACTTTCTTGAAGCTTGTGACTAGCATTTTGAGATTAGGAGACTGGATCGCATGAACTAAGTAATTACAGGATTTTAACTGATGCATTTATTACTTGTAAGGACATAGCAAAGGGACAGACTTACAAAAAATACATTTTGTTAAAGCTTGGTAGTTTTTTACTACTCTTCTTCCAGTTTGTGCACCCTCTCTTTGCTAAAGCAAAATCAATTAAACACAATTTAGTCTTAATTAATGTTTCACTTTAATGTAACATAAAAAAGTGGCCTTCCTTGCAGAAATTTTCTTGGTTTATTCTTGACGCTACAAATGTTTTTTTCCATTTTCACCTTGCATCCTTAGGAGTTCTTTATCTTATGGAACATGAGGAGGAGTACGTATTCACACTGCCTTGTGCCTATGCACGCTCTATACTTACCATTCCTTGGGTGGAGCTTGGAGGAAAAGTCAACATTAATTGTGCTAAGAGTGGATACTCAGCTACTGTCACATTCCACACCAAACCTTTCTATGGGGGAAAAGTACACAGGTACCGAAGTTCTTCTTCCACTCTCTCTTTGGTTTTGTTAAAGTACTAAGGCAAGCAACATTAACTAGCACATCTTTTAATTTTTATAGTGACATAAGATTGTACACTATATAATCTAAATGTATCTAAAACATTGTCCTGGATTCCCTCAAATACCCTTGTGAAAGTGCTTCCTGCAGTTCCAGTGCCATAGTGGAGAAGCTGAAGTGGAGAGGCAGTTTGCAGAATCTGGAAATAATTTGCTTCATTTAAGAGTTGGTTACTCCAAATTCGTTTCTCCTCAGCAGTGGTTTTGAATTTATTTGAATTGTTCAATGCTAATGTTATTAATTGTATTTCTTTTCAGCAACAGTTAATGTCTCACATTGATTTAATTATTTGCTGCAGGATGTAATTGAAGGGTCTGGCATTACTGTCCCCTATTAAAATGTTAAGTGGTATTCTGTTTTAAAATCAACGTGTTAATAATAATAAGTAACAGTTAACATTAAGGATTAATTGCATAGTTTTCTCTTAATGCTTTAACACCAGTTAATATACTTTAATAATCATGTAACTTTAATGTGTTAGTATTAATGCTAACATTTCAAAGTTTGGCCAAAGCATTCAGTGAATCAAACTGGACAGGAATATGAACCCATTGCAAGGTTTTCTCTCTTGGACACAATGATTCTGTGTGCTGTGTGAAATAGGGGCAAAGATAACTGGGAAGTCGTTAGGTTGAAATCAAAGGAAGCTGTGCATGACAGATTTTGTCCAGCATTTAAAAATAAAAGAAATATCTTCAAAAGCATAGCCAGGCTAGTAGGGACCTTGTAATATTGACATTGTCTTTGAAGGGAGGATTGCGTCTGTTATTTGGTCTGCAATTAAGCATGTAAATTGAAGAGAGCAGTCACATAGCTTTGTCACAACACTCTGAATATTCTCCATTCCAGAAGTGTACCTGCAAGGCGTTCACTCTAAGAATAGCAAAAAAATTTCTTGGAAGGAAGGAAGAATCCTTCTAAGGGTTTGCTTTCCTTCCTGTGTCTCATTTGACTGAAATGCTTGTGCTGGTTAGACCTTTCTTGCAGTACTCTTTATTTATTTATTTATTTATTTATTTATTTATTTATTTATTTATTTATTTATTTATTT